ACAACCATATCAAAAAATAAAATATATGGGATCTAATTCCAGGGTAAAATAGATAGCAGAAAATACAATAATAAAACAATAAAACAAAAACAAAAACAAAATACAGGCTATAATTCCAGGATAAAATAGCAGAAAATACAATAATGAAATACCTATTACTCCTCAGCCTTTTGGTTAAGATCAAATGGATTATATAGGACAGTGGTGGCGAACCTATGGCACGGGTGCCAGAGGCGGCACTCAGAGCCCTCTCTGTGGGCACGCACGCCGTCGCCCCAGTCCTAGACCTTAAGCTGGAATTTATAAAACTTTTTCGCTTTAGGCCTTTGCCGCCATGTACAACAAAAAAAAGGTTCAATCAATCAATTTCAACTTCTTGCGGGGAAAAAAAAGATCTTGCAAAGTTGGAATTGATTGATTGAACTTTTTAGTCCCGCCCAGTCTGCTGTTACCACCACAGCCACGCCCACCCCATGGGCCACATCCACCTGGCACCCGACAATGCATAAGCGGGTTTGGGGTTGCAGTTTGGGCACTCGGTCTCTAAAAGGTTCGCCATCACTGATATAGGAGTTGGTTGAATCCAGTGTAAAAAATAGGCTATGGAAAATTGTCCAGTTGCACAACCAGTGGAAAATTATGTCCTTGCACACCTCTCATTCTTTTTATTGGCCAGACATATTGAAGGAACTTTTAAGTTTATAAAGTAGCAGTCAGAGATATTTGATTTTGTCTTATTCAGTACCTGTATTGTAATACCTTACTATCCTTGCATTTGTGCTCAAAGCTTTTATTTGGTTGCTATTGTATGCATCTTGGTGGAATACCTTGAGGTACTTGAATGCTTAAGCAATGCTACGGGTGTTAGACTGTTGTTAAAGCCATAGAAATAGAATCCTTGTGATCCATCATAATCGTAATTCAGTATCTCTCTGTGTGCCTGTAGGGTTCATATAGTGGAGTGAAATGAGGTTGCTACACTTTGGTTGTAATTACTCTTTTTCTTTTCTCGGAAGGTTTGAAATTGAAATAGAGCCCATTTTTGCAAGTCTGGCATTATATGATGTTAAAGAAAAAAAGAAGGTGAGTTGAGGCTTACTTGCTTCATTTGGAAGGTGAATAGAATGCAGTAGCAGTTCTTCTGTGCTCAGCACTTGTAATGTTGCCTTTATTTTGTTTGCCATCATGATACCAGAATTACATCAACAGATTCAAAATGGAAAAGGTAGTCCATCTGAGGAATAACAGAAAAGTCACTGTACTGTAGGCCAAACTGTGTCACAAGTGACTCTAGCAAATGTATGAACAGCAGGCATTCAGATACATTTGTAGCCTTAATTCAAAAGTCCATGTTTGCCCAGTGTCAATTAAATCATATTTGGTTTAAGGTGTTCTTGACAGGTATGCGTACATATGCACGTTCCAAATAACATTTTGCCCTCCTAATCTGAGCCTAGTGCAGTCCTAAATGGTGTAAAAGAAACTATGTGAAAATATAAAAAATAACTTGAGTTACTGCCATCTCTAGTAGTTAAAAGAGTAGCTATATTAAGAACTGTTCCGATATTTTGAAATTTTGTGAAGAATATCAATCTATCTGTCTGTCTGTCTATGTAACAACCTGCAACTAGCCAGCTTCTTATTTTAGATTTCAGAAAACTTTTACTTTGATTTAAATTCTGAACAAATGAAAAGCATGTTGCGACCTCATGTTCCACCTGCGGCCATAACCACTTTGGCTCGTTCAGCCATCTTTTCGATTACATACCCTTCCCAAGATGTCTTCCTGGTAATAAAGGTAAGATTTTTCTTCTCTTGTTCAAAAAGAGAATATTTTATGTGATGATAAATGTTGGGAATATACCTATTCAATATGTGAGTATTTACAAATTAGAGATGGAAGACATTTAAAAGTCTGATGGAATATATGATTGCATAAGAACTGAATATTGTTTGTAGGTAATCATCTCTCTTTATATACGTAGGGAGAAATATACAAGGATTAGTTACAGAAACTATTTTTAAGAGAAACAGAACAGCCAAATAAACTAGGCATTATATAAACACATACATATACACAACTTTCCTAAAGGAAATAAATCCTGACTGTTCTTTGGAAGGACAGAACTGAAGCTGAAGTTCAAATACTTTGGTCACCTAATGAGAAGAGAGGATTCACTGGAAAAGCCCCTCACGTTGGAAAAGATGGAAGGCAAAAGAAGAAGGGGATGGCAGAGGATGAGATGGTTAGATAGTGTCATCAACACAATGAACGTGAATTTGGACAAACTCTGGGAGACAGTGGAAGACAAGGGAGCCTGGAATGCTATGGTCCATGGGGTTGCAAAGGGTCAGACAGGACTTAGCGACTGAACAACAAAATACACAACATAAAATGCATTATCAAGAAGCTAAGTAAGTCTGGCAGAGTTCAGTTCAGTTCCTTCCCCTTCCTTCCCCTTTCTCAGAAAGATAAGTCCTGACCCTGTGTCTAGACACTGTGTTCCAGCACCTGATGTTTTCTTGGACAAACGTTCGTATACAGCAGGAGGGGTATGCCTGCAGATTGTACATGCATAGGTGCTACTTAAATGCTGATTTTGCCCTGCCTCTCTTCCTGCCACTCTGCTACTTGCTTCATCCACAAATTATAGTTTTGAGAGGATGAATCATATGGTGTTTAGGATAAACATTATTTTCATTTTTTTCTTCTTCTTCTTCTTCTTCTTCTTCTTCTTCTTCTTCTTCTTCTTCTTCTTCTTCTTCTTCTTCTTCTTCTTCTTCTTCTTCTTCTTCTTCTTCTTCTTCTTCTTCTTCTTCTTCTTCTTCTTCTTCTTCTTCTTCTTCTTCTTCTTCTTCTTCTTCTTCTTCTTCTTCTTCTTCTTCTTCTTCTTCTT